TGTCTATGATAAAATCTTAATGGACGCTCCGTCGTGATTGACGAACGCTTCGCCAAAATAGGTAGAGTGCAGTTTTTGTTCAGTTCCTTGACAGTTTGGTTTTCAATTTGAATTTCAAATGCACATGATGCTCATGATGAAGATGAAATTGAACATGTCATGACTGGGTCATGACAATTACCATAGCAATTATCTGTCATAACCTAAAATTTTCATTTTAGGTTATGAATATAAAACACTAAATAAAATAAACATTTTTAATTGTTTTCCTGAAATTAAACTAATTTAGTTAATTTCTTGAGTACTTAGATAGCGAAAAAAATATAATTTTCTATTTTTAATAATTCAATTTAATTGTTTGCTTGCCATCACGATGTTTGCATCGATTTTATTATGTGAATGGTGAAAAGATTAATAAGTTTTTAAAATTGGAATAGTCTCAAAGCAGTATTGTCCTATTTTAAAATTGAAGTTTTAAAAAGAAGTTTAAATCAAGTCTTAAATTTTTTTTCTCAAAATCCATCTTTAAATCTAGTTTCTAAATTATAGTCAAAATCTTAAATCATTGTTTGGGTAAGATCATTTCAATAGGCTAAACTTCTCTTCCACTTAATCTTTTTATTCATACAACGTGGCCATACAATTACCTTCCTTTCTTTTTTTTGTCTACAGCCATTTTACCCTTTCTACTATGGATTCTCACTCGGGTTCTCCAACTAAAGAAGTGACCAATTGGGTCCTTCAAATAATGTCGCGCCCGAGTAGAAGTTCAAATCCCACCACACCACCTCTATATATGCCTACGTGGATGTACCAACGTGGATGAGACCATGCAAAACTTGCAGATCCCCCTCCCTCCCCCATCTCCTCCACGTCCACTCTCCCCTCTGTCTCCTATCGGTCCTATGCTCGTCTGCTATGCATGGGCTCCAAATGCACATGCTCAGCGGCCATGGAACAAACATAGAGAGGTGGACTATGGGAGGGTGGGATTGCAAAGGGAGAGATATTGAGGGGGAGGTGGCGGTGACGTGGTGAGTTTTGTACCTTTAGTCGAGCGCAACGGTAGAATGAAGACTTGGATGGTCACTTTTTTTGTTCGAGGACCTAGGTGAGAATTAGTAGTAGATTGAGGACCCAGTTAGTCACCTTTTTAGTTCAAGGAACCAACTGAGAATCCATGAAAAGTTAAGGATCTAGGGCGCATTTTACTCCCAAATAAAAGTTCCGTAGACACCTATTAGTTCTATTGTGTGGGTTTATCCAACAAAGAGCAACTGCAGCAAGAGCCCTAAAATTAGGGCCCTACTTTTGATTCGATGACTCCTATTTTTTAGGCTCATTTTTTACATTAACTTCAACAGGAGACCTCAAAATCCATTCCAACAGACAATGACATACGAGACCCACTTGCCATGCCCTCTCCTCTTCTTCGCTCAGCGAGGACTAGCTTGGGTCACGGAGGGGAACACCGGGGAACACATACATCCTCTACCACTAGGGTCGCTTGTCGCTCCTGTTGCTGGGACGGGAATGCCTAGATCCGCTTGGATCGCTAGCCGCTCGAGTCGCCAGGAGGAGCGACCAGGACAGGAACATCGAGAGGCGGAGAGGAGTAATGCGGCCGAGTTTGGGACCTACCGGGAGGCCACGCGATGGCTAGGAGGCTACGCGGCTAGAGTCTCATGATCACTGAGAGGTCATTGGGATCGTCCAGGAGGCCATGTGGTCGGAGCCTCCAAGTCACTGGGTAGGAGAGAGCTACGTGGCCGGCGTCAGAGCTCGTCAGGAGAGGAGTCATGCCGCTGCAACGACCAAGTAGGGGCTAGGTGGAGAGTCCCAAGGAATGAGAGCCAAGTGGGTAATTTGATAGTCTCTCATTTTTTTTAGGGCTCTATAGGAGCACGTTGGACCTCTGTTTTTTTGTCTGAGCCCCCAAGTTTTAGTTTAGAGTCTGTTTGAGGGCCCTACTGGAGATGCTCTAATAAACTGGTTGAGGGCTGAATTAAAGTCTAACCTATTAGTCCGTATGTTTGGCTAGAGTGACTATTTTTTTTTAAGTTACTGCTCCGTAACTGTTAGTCCAAGTGATCCAAATAGACCCTAACTAATGACCCAGAAAGACAAAACTTAACATCCCTGCTTCTCATCTATGCTGGGACTTTGCGTGTGTGGAATCACCGGTGTTTCACTTTTCTACGCAGATCGTGCTGGCTTCTGTTCATCGCCAACGAAAAGTTTGGAACTGCAGTTTACCAAGTGGCAAAGGAGCGAAAAGCAAGTAGAAACAGAGAATGTGCGGTCTACTATATTTGAGGTTTGGGTACAAATGTCCTGCGGACGCTTTCACATTGCGACTTGGAGCTTAACCGATTTAGAACAGCTCCTGGTGAGCAGCCAAGAGTATGACGGCTGAAAGCAATCTGAAACTTACCCGTTAAGTGTCTGAAAGAAATAAAAAAGAGGTGGTGAAGTCCCATCCAGTTGAATCAACACGAAGTGGTGTTCCACAAGGCCTCTCCCAGCGTGTGTCCTCCTTGGTTCCGTAACACACAAGCCGTCGAAAAAAGACAAATTGCATCACCAAAATACGCATGGCAAAATGACATACAGTCGGCAAATCGCATTCAAAAGTTTTATTCCATCGACGAAATAAAAAAAAAGAAACATCGTTTTGGCTTTTCGTGTTGATAAATAAACTGGATGGTTGTTCACTGAACTGAATCAGGTGGACTCAGTGAGACATCAGAGAAGGTGACTGGGAGTGGAAACTAGCCTGAAGTTCAGGCTTCACATATTACAGCAGCCTGCAGCCGTGACGGCAAGCTCAACAATTCAGCGAGGCAGAATAGCCACACCCACACCAGAAGCTTCTCTGGAACAGTGCCACCATCATCAGTGAGTGCCTTGTGTTCTGCAATTGCTGCAACTTGCAGAGTGAGGAGCCAGAAAAGCACAAGCACCCACAGAAGATGGCTGCATTTGGCTTGGCTACAGAGAGCACTGTTTGGTGTTTGCACAAGGATCTGCCTCATGGGAAACAACAGGGCCAAAAAGGAATTGCAAAAGCTGATGCAAATGGATGCAGAGAAAGCATGAGATGCCAAGGTAGTGGAACTCTGACTCATTGCCAATCTCATACAGGCATTTGGTGGAGCTAGCATCATCAATAGAAAATGCCACATAGGACTGCTCAACAATGGAGGGTCAATCCACGGATTTAAGAAAAGGTGTTATTTCTAAAAGAAAATAACGAATCGAGAAAAAGTTGACTAGACGAGCAAAAGACAAGTAGTAGCAATGCTCAATGACTCATTGCAGACTCAATTTCGTTTATCTTCTCTTCAAAAAAATTGTGTTCATCCGCGAAAATGAAACTTGTCCAAACACATAATTTGGCAGGCACCAATAGGTAAACTGATTACTATGGATAAATATGTCTGGACTACAGCATGATTTGAACTCTGAAACCCTCAATATAAGGCATCATCTTCAGAGACAGCAGAATCAGATGGTCACAAAGGTTACGGATACATCAGCTGACCAGAAGGATCTAGAATTAGGTTCTGCTGATCCACGGCAAGCAAAAGCAGGATCCATGATTGAATGCAAGTCCACTTCATAGGATGCATGATATGTTTTCAGCATGGGTGAAGCCAGAATAAATGGTCACCGGGGTCAGAGTTGGTACTCAACTACTCATATAAGTAGCTTATAGGTTGCAACAATATAATACACTAATCGATTGCCCGGGCTTCAACAATTTGTCGCATCTTTTCGTAGCCGTTATGAAAACTATTACCCTTGTTGCCTACATGGTCTCTAAGCCTATCAGATATTCCAGCCATCTACTACAAATGCATCATTCCCACCTTGTCCCTTATTGCAATCTCTGAACAAATAACAATATAAACAAAAACACCTATCCACGTTTTCACTATACTCTAGGCAATCATATTTAGTGAACTATTCATGTTGAAGTATCTTCGTCATTATTCTCATTATCACTTGTTGCGGGTAATTTTTTTTTAAAGAATCTTTCCAATGTGCTTTGATTACCTATGAGATTAGTCACATAATAAAAATTAAAGCAGATAGATACTAAATTACTAATGTGCAAGTAGCCTACTATTAAAAGTCACTAGTGATTATTGAAATGCAACTATGCAAGCTATACTAAAGTAGATAGGTACCTGACATTTCGTCGGAATGAAAGAGCACGCTCTTTGGTGGAAAGCCTTAAGACCTCATATTTCGAACTTGATTGTTTTAATTAGCAATTGCAGAATAGGGTATTTGGGGTACCTGGACAGGCAGACAGAAGATGGGCAGAGAGTTTATCGCCGCCGGCCACCAGCAAGTCGTCACTGTGATTTGCGTCAAGCGTCTTTGAGACACGAGACAGGGAACGAACGAGCAGCCGCTGGGCACTGGGCACCGGCGCCACTTGCCAAATGCTAGAACAATGGAGATCGGAAGATGAAACGACGACTACTCGGCCAGGGCTCCAGTCAGAAGCGGAGGTCGGAGGCAAACGTTGGCCTTACGGGCTGCTGCTGCATAGTGTCTCGGTTGCAATTTACATTCACGTAATGTAATCACGTTCCAGATCTAGGAAGCAGAAGATGGGGCGAACTGCTGGGCTGGGGTCCAACATATTTTCTACTGGGGTCTAACGTGGTGAAAAATCGCTGCCTATAATAGGCTACGGCAAAGCCGTCGGTGTCGGCCGAACCCGATGCCTTCACGTAGCTTTCGCCCTGGGTTTTCAGCCATACCACTCAAGTAACAGTCTGAAAATACCAAGGCATCGAATTCTTGGTGTTCTTTTTGTTACATTCTCGGTATCACCAGCAAATTATGGACCACCATGGAAGGAAGATCCCCTTTCTGTTATGCTCCCAAATTGGCTAATTACTTCAATACAGGCGCTGAAGCTACAGCAAGACCATAAGTATTATACACTAGACACCTGATCCATGGTGCAGAGTGGATTTCGCCTAGAACAGAACGCTCTGGTTGGCGACCAATTGATCATGTAGAGGGCCACACTGCAGACCTTGATCTTGCAAATCCATCCGGTAAGTCGCCATCACAGAGGTCCGGCTTGGTGAATTGAAGGGCAGATTTCCAGCACCGTGTTGCTTGGCATCGGCTGCCAATGAGAACTGGCCTATCCCCGCAGTCGGAACTGATCCGTTCGACTGGTTGGTGATCAGAGAGGACTGGGATGGCGAGGGAGGCTGCTCGTCCGTCAGGTTAACCGTGGTAATGTCATGAATGCTGGATCTCCTCTTGTCCTTGCCGCCGGAGTTGAGCCTGATGAAGTACTTCTGCGCATGACTGGCCACCTGAGTAGGCGTCCTCGTCTGAACGAAGTTGCGCGATATGTTCCTCCAATCCCCCTTGCCATATTTCTTCAGGCCTAAGAGAAACAACCTGACCGAAGAAGAAAAACATGATCTTGTTCAGTAACCTTTGATCAATTCTTGCTTCAATGGTTGAATTATAGTACTAGCTACGGGCAGGGCCTAAGGCCATCATATGTACATCAAGCTACATGACTGTCCTAGAGAGTCAGATCCTACTCGATAAGGAAAATTCCCCGGATTAAATGCAATTAATTGTTGATAGTTGATTAATTGCAAGTTGCAAATCTACTCAGATGATGTAAACCCTATGGGATGATGGTGAAATTCAACTATCCAAGATGGAAACTCTCGCCAGTCTTGTGCACGACGCAGAGCAATCGCTCTCAGAACAGAGCAGAACCCAGAAGTCGTATGCAGTAATATACTCACTTGTGCTCCTCCTCCGTCCATGGCACGCCCTTCTTCCTCTCCTGCTCCGGCGTGCGGCCGTGGTGCCGCTTCCCGCAGCCTACGCCGAAGCGGTACCCGTGCCTGAAGTCCCCGGGGCCGTAGCCGCCATTGCCGTCCCACTGCAGAGTGAACGAGCTGGCCCCGCCGCCGTAGACCGGCAAGGGCACCTGGCCGCTCTCGATCTGCTGGACGTCGAGCTGGAGGTTCTTGAAGTGGCTGACGACCTCGCGGACCGTCCGGCCGGGGATGGCCCGCGCCACCTTCTCCCAGTCCGGGCGGCCAAGGTCGAGCCCGGCGAGCGCAGACTCGAACCGCTTGTTCTCCTCCGCCGTCCAGAGACGCGCCGCGGAAGGGAACCAGTTGCTCCGTGCGGCTATGTGGTCCACCGGCGGCAGCACGTCCATATACATCTCCCGCATCATCTCTCCCCCCGGCGTTCCTCCTCTTCTCCTCCCCCTGTAGGAATCACAGGACTGAAAGAAAGGTTAGATTTCTTTTTGCCTTTTTCGGCATCTCAGTCGGAACATGATAAAGATTCCAAGAGCACTGTAACAATTATTAAAGGATTTCTCTCTCTGAACAGGAAGAATTCCTGTCGTCGCTGCAAATCAAACAAGATGAACATGGGATTGGAGGAGATATCTCATGGGGGGCGAAAGGTGGAATCTTTGTGAGTGAAAACTGGAATCAATTGCAAACAGGTTGATTCTCGACCTGAAAAGGGATCGACTTTATGAACGAATTAGATTGGAGTGAAGAACACCTCTGAACTGAACCCCGAACACAACCGGAATCGTGAACCATGTGACCCCAAAATCAGTTATCCCTAACCAATTTGACCGCCGCAGCCACAAATTAACGAAACCACCGCACCTAAACTAGCAGAGGACCTAACCACCTTAAAATCCCACTCAAAATTACATCACCAAACACCACAGAGAACTCGAGACCCCACCCAAAGCAAAGCGAAATTTCACCTGAACAGCACCTCCTCTTGATCTCTCGCGGCGCCGGCAGGTTAGTCCTCGGCAGGAGGGACAAAAGGCGATCCGCCTCGGTTCTTGCTCAACCTCTCTGGTTTTTTTTTCTCCTCGCTCTCCTAGTCTCCTTGCTTTCTTCTCTCAGCTCTGAGCTAGCTTTCCCTGAGCACTAGAAAAGAGAGCGATCCAGAGGGAGGCAGGTTCTCGTGAGTGTCAGCCGGCGATTGGGCCGTGGCTTGGAGATTGTGGCCGACTTTTGCAGTATTTATATACTACCGCTACTCCATTACCATACCCGTGTTGCTAGGCCGCATGTATGTGCGTGCGCACATCACATACACGCATGCACACTTGGAGTTGTTCTTGGCTTCCCTTCCCTCCCTCGCTTTTTACCTCCACTACTGCCTACTCGGTCCAAGACCTTGTTTACTTACCTCAAATCCAAACTTTACCGCTATAAAAAAGAAGATTTATCGTCACATTAAATTTGCGGTACATGTATGGAGTATTAAATATTGACGAAATTAAAAACTAATTGTACAGTTTGGTTGTACTTTGCGAGACGAACGTTTTGAGCCTAATTAGTCAACGATTGGATAATTATTACCAAATACAAACGAAAAGGTTACAGTGCGCTACAGGACTTCTACCGTGATTCCGGCGACGCCGGCAACTAAACAAGGTGCAAATCTCTTCTCTCTAATTGGACATTTTTTTATTTCATACTAGCAGTATTCCTTACACTTTAGCTCGTGATAGAAAGCATACTCTATATATAAATATCACTGCACATTGGTGGTTAGCGTCTCTGCACCAACAGCATGTTCGCTTGTTGGTTTCAGCCAGAGCTTATCAACCAGTCAACAGTGTTTTCCTCTCACAACAAATCAGCACCAGCTAGGTTTATCAGCTCAGAAACCAACCAACGGACGGGCCGTAAAATGATAAGCGACAATATGTCGGTGGCCGCTTCCAAAATGAAATAATAAATGTATCAGTGACTTCTTAAAGCCATTTTATAATCTGAGACTCTGAGTGTAGCCGTGTGCCCAACTAAAAAACAAAGATAGTGATATTTTTTCTTCTTCTTTCTGTACCCTTATTAAGTTGCTTGTGAAATTTTGATTAGTTGGGGGGTGTGGAAGTGGTCGAGTTGTGGCACTAATATTTTGTTTATATGTGCGGAGGAGGGTGATGGGGATGATTGGTCGCCGTTGACAAGTAGCCATGGCTTTCAGTTCAGGGTTTCGTTTCACTCACCTGTTGCCATCGGCCGTTTGGTGCCGCCCACGCATGATTTGCTGGGAAGGGATTGGGCGGTCATTGTTTTATTGCAAAGGGAAAGGGAAACAAATAAAACTGCAGTAGGTGTCGTCCGTGCCGCTGGCAGCTGGTGTGAGCCTTCTGTTCAGTTCTGCTTGGTTGGTTGGTTCATCTGAATTTTGTCAGGCTCCGCTCGACATATCACACATTGACCTGCAGAATGATTGGTGCCGCACGCTACACCACAGCCGTCTCACCTGACCGAGCCTCGCCTCGCGCATGACATCTGCTCCATGATGAGACCGTATTGCACTGTTCAATGTTTTTTTCATAAATAAAAATACGTACATCAAAAGGCGTTGGACGGTCCTAAATCTGAAATGCACAAAATTAATATAGTTCATTCAACTCAACCGGTGCAGTGCAGGGTTTAGGAAAATTGTGCAGAAAGTTTGAGGCTATGCGGTAGGCGCTGGAGGCTCTGGAGCAGCGTGTTCTGATAGCGAATTAGGCGCTCGATGTGCTTTAGGAATTATGAATTGTGCTTTTAGATTTTTGGGAGAGAACTTGGGCATCTCCTTTTGCTAAATAACATCAACCTACGTCACTAGATGGGTTAAAATCGGCCCTTTTGCTTTCATGCACGTTCAACACATGAGGAATGAAATTCCTTTAGCTCTCTTATGGGATCCCTTTAATTTCTTGGGGAGCTAATCTATACCCTTCTTATGTCGGTTTTAGAGGAGTGGTTCTATTATTCTACCCATCCTTTCAAATCCAACATGTTATCAAATAAAGTGCCTTCCTTTGTTCTCTTTATACGGTGTATTACGATTTGAAAAATTCTTTGAAGCTGCTCTTGACCATTAAATTCTCTTAAACCATATTATCAATTGCTACAAAAATAACTATTGTGCTACAGTTATAAACGGTTTATGAAATACTAATGTGATTATATAATTTTTTTATAAGCGTACCATGCATACACAGTTTGATCATTACTTTATTTTAAAAAGGTACAAAGTTGGATGTTCAGATCCTAAAACTGAAAACTCCTTGTCAAAAGAAAAGAAGCAAGTGCTGCTTTAAAAACTTTGTATGTACTGGGCGTCTTTCGATGATGATGTTTTCCTTGCTTTCACAAAGTGATTTTCGTAGGTGACAAAATGCTGAAAATTACAGCACCCTTCGTGCTGTAGACTTGACTGGAGAATCTCTTCAAGTGGCATCTTTCTTGAAAGAAATAGGTGACCGACAATGAAGTGAAGAAAAGCTGTCCTCTACGCCTCTACCGTTTTGACAAGCTATTATTTCCATTGGATTCTCCAAGATGGGGCCAAAAAAAAAATCTTGCTTCCATTGACTAGGTACAATTTCCCCTGTAACCTGTTCATATTTGCAGTTCAGTTTGCATCAGAAGAGAAGTTAGCATATACTACTACTATATTTATATGTCCTTGAATTGTTAATCTGTGGCACATGGTTGTTGCTTGACTGCAAAACCAGATGAGATCGCCACAAAAGACTGCCAAAGTACAACTGAAGCAGGGGGAGCTTTCTGCATCTGATGAACAAACCCTCACCAGGCATGTCCAGTCCAGGTCTGCACCCCACGTAGCAAAAGGAGGAGGAACCTGCACATCTTAGCTAAACAAACACACACAGCCTCGCTTGGAATTCAAGCAAGGCTGTCAGGAAGCTACCAGTCAGTAATACGAACCACAAAGTTTATTTTAATTAATACTGGTCACCTGAGACAGCTCTGACCAATCATTCATTCACGCAGCATGGCCAGGAGAGAAATGCCGGGGAAACAGGTTGGAAAGGGACACAAATTTACATGCCGATTGGAGGATGGCGTACGTGCTATGTGTCGCCTCCAGTTTTATCGGATGGCAGATAGAGACTAAATGCTCTGTATTGCCGGTTTATAACTACGCCTTGCAATGATTTTAAATGTTTTTCCTTTCCAAATATGCGCATCTTTTAGTAAACTATTCTGTGATTTTTTTTTTAAAAAAAAGAAACCATTGCAAGTTGCTACATGAATAATGAGTAGTGGTCTTAGGAATTGTACGGACTAAACTGTTCTATGGTATATATATTAGCGTTGGACTTGTTTAATGAAAAAATTACTTTTGTTTGACTCATAAATTTATTTAAACGTGAGTCATCAGCTGTACTGGCATATACTATCATCATTTTTAACTAAAGTACAGGCCACAATTATTATTAGGTCGGAGGACAAGTAAAGGTAGTTATGTTGCAATGACGTGAGGTCTGAAGTCTGAACACATGGTTTAAGGGGTCAGAGAAACAATAGGGGCGTTTTCTAAAGGAGCTACTAGCTAGCATTGGTGTTGGAGGTACTATCAACAACAAGGGATATATTGGCCCTTCCATGCACAAGGAGCCACCGTATGTTGGCCATACTTGGGCGGTTCCCTCCCAAAATACCAAATTTTTCAAGATTTTCCATCACATCGAATCTTTGGACGCATGCATGAAGCATTAAATATAAATAAAAAATAAAATTAATTACACAGTTTAGACGAAATCCTCGAGACGAATCTTTTAAGCCTAATTAGACTATGATTGGACACTAATTGCCAAATAACAGCGAAAACGCTACAGTATTGTTTTGCCAAAAAATTTGGCAACCAAACTGGCCCTTGGCCATATGGCCCAGGCACGATGGGTCCGCCCAGGCACGGCCTAGCCCGGCTCCTATCGTGCCCGTGCCTGGCACGGCCCGGTCGTAGTGTCGTGCCTGGGCCACCATGTCGGCCCAGGCACGGCACGGATAATGGGCCGACACGACGCTGCCCGATCAATTCTAGCCATCGGATGCTTTCAGAGGATTCCATAGCCGTTGGATAAGAGTATATAGCACCAAACCCTAACTCCTCCAATGATTCCTCCTAGTAGCCGTCATCTCTCGTCCTCCACACGTAGTCGCGCCCTCCTCCCCATGTCCGACTCCTCCTGTCCCTACAGTCCTGCCCAGCTCCTCCTCCGGTCCTCCCGAGCTCCCCACTGCGGCTCCCCATGGCGGCTCCTTCGTTCGCGCTCCCGTCCTTCCCGTCTGCTCGACGGTGTGGCTACCTCGGCGCGCGGCAACCTCTGTGCGGTGGCACGACCAGGGGTGTGTCTTCGCGGCGGCGGCGCTCGGCCAGGGT